CCCTGGCCGGCGGGCTGGCGCTCCCCAGCAGCCCCGGCGCAGCCTCCCCGGCGTCTGGTGAGGCTCAAAGCCGCCGCGCGGGCTCCCGGGGATCGGCGCAGAGGGGAGGCGCCAACGTGGCCGGGCGCGGGCTGAAGCTCCAGCCTCTTCCTTAAGCCCCTCCACTCCTGTTCCAGGCCCGTAGTTTTGTCGGGCGAGGGCATTTCCCCATGAGAGAGCCCCAGCGAGCACGGCACCTGCCCGCCGCGTCGCTTAACCAGCGGCAGGCCTCGGCTGAGGGGATTGATGGTCCAGAACCCCCACGTACGGGTGACTTAAGTGCGCTGCGTGGTTCAGACCTAGTGGGCAAGCCTGTCCCTGGAGACCCTATCCCTGGCTGCCTTGCCTGTAGTACAAATTTATATACAGAGAATGTCTGAGGGACTCGGAGCTGCTGGCCCATCCCCAGGAAGGTGGCAACTGGGGAGCACGGTCCGGCAATAAATAGGTACAAGCAACGAGTTTATAAAGTGGTGAAGCGAGTGAAGCCTTCCCGATCGGGGAGGACTAACTGAGTCGAGGCAGAGATGCAAAGGAAATTGATGAGGGAGGGAAGGAAGGGAGAGGGGGAAGCAAGAGACACTGAAGACACCCCTGCCTGCACAGGGAAATCCAACACCCTTTCTCTTTTTAAACTGGAAAGAGGGCAAGGGGGAAAGTTCAGGAATATCACATTGATCTTAAATGATGGTTTTAAGCCTGACCGTTAATCTTGCCATTATATATAGTGCTTGACTCGGTTTCTTTTAAATATAAGGACATGACAGGACAACTTGGGTTTGACTAGAAGATTTGCCCTTCGAGCGCTGGAAGAAGTTAATTCACCTTCACTCCTGTGTAGCTGATACAGCGTTACTTGGAGCCTGTCTTGCTCTTGCATCACGGTTGATGCAGACTTTCTCTCTTGACAGAATAGGTTTCCCAGTGCCTCATTCGGTCCTCCCTTTCACCACAGCTATTGCTGGTAAAGAGCCAGGTATCTTCGGTTCATTCCTTGCCTTCTCCTTTGCTTTAGAGCAGCAGAATATATGTAATATATACACACACACCCCAAACACACGGGGCCTCAAAGTTCAACAGTGAAAGCAGTTCCTTAGTAGCATATCCCTGCTGTTAAGGGAGTTTTATTAAAAGTGTGAGGTGTGTTAGCAAAGGAATGGCATGGAGGGAAAAGACAGGCAGTTGGAAGATGGTTAGCGGTGTCTCACTTGAAGGAACTGAGCCTTGGTTTATGTCCCCGTGGATCTCTAATGATTCATTAAAACATAAAATTGCTGACCTTTCGCCACAGTGAGTTTGGGGCTAAAATGCTGCATGAGCTTATTGTTTCTTTGGATTTCTCTGCTGCGTGAGGGGATTTTTCTCGCCTTAGTGTATGAGATGATGCAGGATATGGAGGATTTCTGAGCTGGTTACCGCATGTAGTGAAAAGCCCCAGGGTTTTTAATGTCCTTTATTTTGTGCATGGCGGCCCAAATCATGCATGAAGGGTCACTGCCGAGGAGGAGGACCAAAATGCCATGTGTTTCACGCTGAAGTTAGAGGTCCTGCAAAAGTCTTATAGATCGTTTGGAACCCCATCATGGAAGCGTGGAGCAGAGGAACAGAAATTGCATGCGATAGCAGCTCCAGAAGATGCTTTAGTAATTGCTGGTGTCATCTCAGTAAATATTTGGTATATATTGATATCTCTTTGGAACCAAGGAGTAGAAACAAGGGCAAGCATTCATAAACTTTCTTCCTGGGGGCCTGATTCCAGCCCAGAAACTTTCCTGTTCTCTCATCTGAATTAGACTGTGTTTAAATTCATGTAACTAATCTGAAATGGTGACTGGAAGACTTGAGCCGCAGGTTAGACTTCACATAGAGTCTAGATCTGCTGAAGTCATTCTTATCACTCCCTAACTATGCCAGGATTTTTCTCCCATTTCCACTGTTTGAGAGGGCGGCATGGTATTTCTGGAAATTTGGGATGGTCCTTTTGAAATTGCAGTTTTCAAATATTTCAACTGAAAAATTGTTCTCTTGACTTCCTATAAACAGAATCAGCATATGTGTGGGGTGGCTGTGTGTGTGATTTTGGTTACTGTTAGCAGTAGTTGAAACTCAAGAGGCTGATCTAGGAGACTTCACTACTTTCAGTTTTGTTTTTAAACAGTTCAGATTTGCATGTACGTTTTAAACCAGATATGTATTTTAAAAAAACCCAAATACCTTATTTTAAGAATTTGGAATTTTAAAATGTTGTTCTTATTGTGCCTATTCTTTTTTGAGCAAGCCTAAGGCAGCAAATGCAGTATAATGTGTACTGCAACATATGCAACCAACTTTGGACCTACGCAGCTTATTCTTTCTTGTTTTAATTCAGCAGAATGTTAGAAATCCCTCTCTCCTCTGCAGCACTGGAGCGCAATAAAAGCATGTTGAGAGGAGAACACTTTAGCAGAGAATTTCAGGAAATTCATAGGCCTTTGTAGGTTGGGTTTTTTTCATTTGGGTGGTTGTTTTCCCCCTTAGCAGGAGGGCTGCGAACAGCAATCACTGTCTGGGAAGTGATCTCATTGTATTGTCTTGCAAGTGCCCTAAGTTAAGTCTGGTTTTCCCAGTATGCATTTTCCGTCTCGCTTCCAGTGTCAATGCCTGCGTAGACGTGGTTCTGTCTGGTGTGAAGTTATTAGAGGCACTCGGTCTTGAACCTGGGGATGGAAAAAATCACGTGGTCTTGAACTCCAGACAGGACCTGAAAGAAGCGTTCGCTCACTTCATGGAAAAAGGGGCAGCTGCCGAGCGCTTCTTCAGTGACGCCGAATCATTCCATCACATTGCGCAGACAGCCTCCGAGTACCCTGGTGCACAGGTATGCCTTCCAGCTGAAGATAAGCTTTGAGAAGCACGTTTCTTCTTTTCTGCATCATTGGTGACTTCTGTTCTGTGTGTAGTAAGAGTGCAAACGGTTTAGGAAAGAAACTTGTGCCATGGCTTGAGTGCGTTAACGATTTTTCACAAAACTCTGCGCCTGCTGCCAATAGTTGGGGTTTGAACGGTCTGTCCCTTGATTGCTTTCCCCAGACTGAAATGTCACTCCAAGATCTGCCTGTAAGAATACTGTTCTGTGGGAGCCAGATGGGACTGATGCTGTAAAAGGCTCTAATATCTTGTAATGAGGCAGGAAGTGAGGAAATAGATCCAAGCATTAGGAGCTGTAAACACTCTGATCGGCTTCAGCTACTTAACGCAGGATTTAAATTCCCTCTAGGAAATTTTTTGAAGCTTCCCTTTCCAAAAGCAAAGTTTTGTTGCTCTGATTTATACTGGGTCTGCTGAATCTAATGTGATACCTTGCTTGGCAGTTAGCTAATTTTTACAAACTGCTTAATGCTGCCTTCTATGCGGCTTGCCGTCTGTTTTTGAAAATGAGGAAGAGCTCTAAATGTTTTCTGTTGGTCAAGACTCTCTTGTATTGAGTTGTTTCTCACCACTTTTGCTATGTTGGCTTTCTGTAATCACCTGTTTATCAGCTGTATCCTTCCATAGCCTGTGTTCTGTCTCCTCTGAATGCCTGTGATCCTCATGACAATCTCCATTCCTTGCTTTCAAAGCTCACATTGGAGGTTTTTTACTTGAAAGTTTGGCCTTTCTTACCTGAAGAAACTTCCACGGTTCTGCTCACTTCACATGGGCACAGGTTCAACCTTGATTTCAAACTGGGGGAAGTATTGGTGCAGTTTGTAAATGACTGCTTGTCAGCCTTGCGAAGAAAACCCCACAAGTTACCAGCTGCCACTGAAAAGTTGTGCAGACGTAAGGGCTGATTATGTTACAAATTAATTGATTTGTACAGGGTTGTGAGTTACCTGAAGGCAAATATTTAGATGTTAGAAGTCAGAGAACGCTCAACTCATTGAGTTCTCAGAGAGAATTGTAAAATTGCTTTGCCTTTGGCCCCAGTGAGCTTTATTCACTTCTGTAATGCTAGACCCTTGTCTAAAGAGCTAAAATCTCTAGCCTGTGCCAAAGACTAAGCATGTATAAAGCTATCAAGGCGAGGGAATGCCCACACTGGCCTCTCTGTCTTTTACAGCTTTATGTAGGAGGAAATGCTGCTCTCATTGGTCAGAAGCTTGCAACAAATCCAGACTTGAAGGTATGTGTACAAAAGTTTTGTGCTATTCACTTGTCTTTAAGGAGTCTTACATTACTTCCCTGTCTGTTTGGGGGATCTTGGTGTCATTTCTTAGGCTATGGTGGAACGTAGGGTTGGCCTTATGAGTTGAAAAGCATAGCCAATTTTTTTAAAATTTAATTATTTTTTTTTTAAATCAGTTGTCTAGGTGATGCTTAAACGCACTGAAATGGAGGCAAGGGACACGGCAGGGGATCCTTGATTGTTTTTTCCTGTTTTCTAGATCCTCCTTTGTGGCCCAGTTGGTCCTAAACTCCATGAACTACTTGATGACAATGTGGTTGTGCCACCCCAATCCATGCAGGAAAGAGATGAATTCCATCTTATCTTGGAGTATCAAGCAGGTACCTTGCCAAAGGCTGGACGTTAGATGGGAACCCTCAGCATCACTAGGATAGTCCTGGTTTTAAAGTTGGGGGTTTTTGAATCGGTTAATTCTGGAAGACTGTGTAAATTACAAGTACTGGCAGCTGTCCCTGGGCTAATCTGGTAATTCCATGCGTTCAGGGAGCTGCAGCAGGTGAACAGACAACTAGAAGTCTTGAAACTCTTATCAATTGTGATACGGTTACTGTAAATACTGACTCATACTGCTGTCTTGCCATCCCTTTGATTCTGTACGCTTGTGCGCTACAACCTATGGAAACTACGTGGACTTTTCATTTTGTTGTGATGCGTAGCCTCAGCAGACCTGATGGGCATAATTCTAAAGCTATACAAACACTAAAACAGTCCAGTAATGTTCTCTGAAAACAGAAAGGTACCACTTAACCACATTCAGATGAAATTCAGGGCAACCCTAATACAACAGTTAAAACAAATCTGCATGTGTTTTCTTGCTGTTTTCAACCTGAATCATTCCACCGATCCTGTCTCAATATGTAGCTTCAGAAAGAGTTACATTGGTGTTACAGAAGAAGGGGTATTCTGGCAAGGAGGGAAGGCAAGAACCACCTTAATTAAACTTTTTCAGGAGCAAAAGTAATGTGGAGCAGCACCCAAAGCATGCACTCTGATGGACTTCTGGTTGAAACAAGGTTGCTATAACTGATGAGTGCTGTCACACAGTAGCACTTGTAAAATTACACTAATCTCCGCATAAATCTCAATTCCTCTTGCTCCTGGAAGCATCCTCATTAGATGATACATAAGATACATTAGAATATGATGTCTCCTTTCCTCAGCATAGAATGTTTTGGGTTGGAAGGGACCCCTAGAGGTCATCTAGTCCAACCCCCCTGCAGGGAGGAGGGACACCATTAGCCAGATCAGGTTGCTCACAGCCCCGTCCACCCTGGCCTTGAATGTTTCCGGGGATGGGGCCTCCACTACCTCCCTGCGCAACCCGTTCCAGTGTTTCACCACCCTCATTGTGAAGAATTTCTTCCTTATATCTAGTCTAAACCTACCCTGGTTTAGTTTAAAACCATTACCCCTTGTCCTGTCACAGCTGTCCCTCTTTAGTTTGACCAGCATCTCTCATCTCAGCCATGCCAGTATCTTCCCTTCTTTGCCTGATTTCTTACACCTAGGGATCGAGAGCTCTTGCGCTCCATGATCACATCCTTAAAGATCTGCCAGCTCTGTTCTGTTCCCCTGCCGACTGTTTCCCAGGGAGTCCTTCTGACTATCTCCTTGAAGAGCTGGAATTTTGCTTTCCTAAAACTCAGGGTCCTGACTATACTCTTTGTTATTCCCATTTCCCTCAGGAGCATGAGCTCCATCAGCTGGCCCTACTAAAAAGATTGTCCCCATCTTTCCTATAGGCCCCCTTTAAGTACTGGAAGGCTGCAATCAGGTCTCCCCACAGCTTTCTCTTCTCCAGGCTGAACAACCCCAACTCTCTCAGCCTGTCCTCCTATGAGAGGTGCTCCAGCCCTCAGATCATTGTTGTAGCCCTCCTCTGGACCTGCTCCAACAGTTCCATGTCCTTCTTGTGTTGAGGGCTCCAGAGCTCAACACAGTACTCCAGGTGAGGTCTCACCAGGACAGAGTAGAGGGGCATGTCTGTTCTCAGCTGAGAACTGCCCTCCTGAAGCAGCTCTGGGGATCTTTGTCCCAGGCAGAACTTTGCCATGAGACTTGTCTTAAGAGGAGGCAGCGCTGATGGCTGTTGATGCTGGTTTTGTGGCTTTTCCACAAATGCCAGGCATATTCTCCATAGTATAACCACTACACAGTCTGGGAGAGCTGAGTGAACAAGTACGCGTGCTGGTTCTAAGGTGGACCGGGGCTTGTGTAACCTGTATCCTCTCTAAGCCCACTGTCCTTACCCTGTTTTCTCAATGTTCTGGAGATGGAGCCCATTTAATTTGTAATCTTATCCAGATAAAACCATTTGCACTGATGCCACTCTATTCTGCAGATCATTTCTGGGAGCTGTGCCGTCAGGAACACTAAGAGCCATGAGACTTTTCAGGGTGTACCTTCATGGTACACCCTGAGTCATGCTAAGAGGTGGTGGTTGCCAGAAGGGGAAGGTCTCTCTCCCTTCTTGTTGCATATCCTGCATGCTCCAAGTGTTAGGCTCGAGCTGGCTGTGACACTCACCTAATTCCATGCTAAACTAATACAAGTGATTAAAACATCACAAAGCTTGCAAAAGCAAACAAGTCTTGAATTTTCCTTCTGATTAGACAAGCATCTAAATGAGGCAGAGGGAGAGAACGAAGAGAATGAATGAGAAAAAGAGCAAAGACTTCTCTGGTGGCTGGCAGTAGCTGTTCATTGGGCATGGTCATGTTGTGAAACCACGCCTTCGGATTCCAGCAGGATATCCCAAAACGATCTCCAGATAAGTGGTTTGGTTTGCGTCTCTTCTGAGTTAATTTTGCTTCTATTTGTTTCACCCTAGGTGAAGAGTGGGGACAAGTAAGAGCACCCAATGCCAACCGCTTCATCTTCTCCCATGATCTATCAAATGGCGCCTTAAATATGCTGGAAGTGTTTGTGTCCAGCTTGGATGAATTTCAGCCAGATCTTGTGGTGCTTTCAGGACTTCACATGATGGAAGGCCAGAGCAAGGAGATGCGGCAGAGACGACTTATGGAGGTAAGACACTTGTACACCACTTTAATTTCCATTCCAACAAGTGCTTCATGGCGAAGTTTTGGTTTCCCAGGCTTGAACGTGTAATTAGGCTGATCTTCAGCTGTCCCACAAATCTTTTTCGGTATTGCATGCTAAAAGAAGAATGTGAGCTGTAGGAATGACAAAAGTCTAATCCTATAACGCTAATGCTTCTGAGATTCAGTGGGTTGTCTAGGGGACAAATAAAAGGCATGGCCTGGTTGTCTGGCTGGGGTATGCCGACACGGTTACTGGAGCTTACCTAGTGGCTAAATAACACATTTTCTATCCCAGACACTAAGATGATCATGGTTATAATCAAGACTTGCATTCTTCAAGCAGCATCTGTGTTAGATAATCCAAGAGGCAGCTTTCTCATCTGAGCCTGAAGCAGCTACACCAAGTTTTCTTTTTACAGATCATTGCCCATCTTATAGCCCAGTGCCCCTCCTGATGCAATGCCCTAGCCCTTTTTTTTTTTTTCCCCCCTTCTTTCTCTCATTTCTATAGCTGCTTCAGATGTGTGAGGTTTCTGAATTAGCCCATTAGAAAAGTGCTGAGCTGGGTGCAGATGAAGGTTAGATACAGTTTTCCTGCTCTTGGATTCTGAAAACCAGAAGTTGTTTCTGTTTCTTCCCCTTAGCAGTACACTCTGGCACTTGTCAGACATCTCATTTGGAATTGTGTTTAAATCCATACACAGGAAGATCAAAGGATGTGTATCTCTGACTCAAAACCCCTTTGTTCTTTCTGTTTCTTAATGAATATGTGGTTTAGGGTAGGGTTGGGTTTTTTTTGTTTGTTTGTTTGTTTTTTCCTGTACCCCTGCAGGCTGTGGCCTCCATCTCCGATATCCCTACTGACATTCCCATACACCTGGAGTTGGCCAGTATGACTGATCAAGATTTTATGAGCAACATTATGCATCAGGTAACGAAAATGAAAGGACGTGCTCCTTTGTATCTGTTTCCTTTTCTTCACTTGCACAATGCAGAGACTGGTAGATGAATACAGAAACGAAAACTTAAAAATTAGGACTATCTGTCTGAAGAGAAGTGGAGAACGTGGGTTTAATGTCTGCTATTGCATTCTGAATGCTTCCGCTTTCCCTGCTGAGCTTATCAGAGCCTCCTCCGTGCAGCGAAGCAGAACTGTAATGCCTTAGCAGAGGGCAGATTTGTTTTCTGTAGCTCAGAGAGAGTATTCCTTTTAGAAAGGTCTCTCTGGGAAGTTTCATTTAGGAGGTGTCTTACAGTGCTCTCAGTTGATCATCAGACTGTTTTCAGCAAGGAGTAAGGATTTTTTTTGCAGATCTGAGTTCATTCAGCAACTCTATTCAGTAAAAATACTGTGCCACGCAGCTGGGCTCTGTTCTCTGATACAAAGATTTTTCACAATCATGGGGAGGGTGACCCAAGAGAATATTTGCAACTCCACAAATACAAGTAACTTTGGTTTCAATTTCACAGACCCGTGGATTTCTAGAAAAAACAGGATTTGAATTTGAGCTGAATTTATAATCTAAAAAAAAACCCCTCGATTTCTTGGCAGAATTTCTTTCCTGCAGATCCTGATGGTTCCTTGTTTAGCTTGACACAGCTCTAATCTCTGTGTTACGAGTGTTTGATGTGAATTTGATGTTTTATTACTCTTTAATGTCAAAGTGCCTGTCTGGAAAATTAATTGAACAAAATGAGTGCGTGCCCTTGGCGTGAAATGTTTTCTTGGCTAAGTAATTCTTGCAGACTTGTTGAACCGGGGAAGCTTGTGCGGTGACTTTGGCCTGTATCTCTCCAGGGAACTGGGTGCTCCCTTCTGCTGGTGACAGAGCCAGTAACACAGTATGGTAAAATCAATACCCTGAGTGAGGAGGCCCAATTCTCCCTCTGAAGGATAAACCTGTTGTTCCTGTGTTTCTGTTAGCAGGTCTTTCCCCTGGTGAACTCCATTGGGCTGAATGAGCAGGAGCTGCTGTTCCTCACGCAGTCTGCCTCCGGTCCCCATGCCTCCCTTGCTTCCTGGAGCGGCGTTCCCGATGTGGGCATAGTCAGTGACATCCTCTTTTGGATCCTGAAGGAGCATGGGAAGATGGCAGACCGGGCCTCTGATCTGACACGGGTCCACTTCCACACCCTGGCCTATCATATCCTCGTCACGGTGGATGGGTACTGGGGCAACCAGGTTGCTGCTGTGGCTGCCGGAGCGAGAGCAGCAGGGACCCAGGCCTGCGCCACTGAAACCATTGATACCAGCAAAGTCTTTCTTAAAGCTCCTTTGGAGTTTGTGACCTCCCAGATAGAAGCCCCTTACAAAATTTCTTTAAATCCAGATGAGCCAGTGGTACATTGGCACAGAGAAGGCATCTTATTCCATTTCACTCCCGTTTTGGTGTGTAAAGATCCTGTCCGGACCGTGGGACTTGGGGATGCCATTTCAGCTGAAGGACTGCTATACTCAGAAATACATCCTCAATAGAAGACTAAGCCCTTCCTTTTTCTCCAGTACTGTATGGTGTCTGTGGAACCACGGTGTTCTCGTTAGGATTTCAGCCAGTGCTGGTATAGGAACAGAATTGGGGTGTGGTGTGTTTTCTGGATCTAACTGAAAAAGAGCCAAAGAATAATTCCAGGTATAAACTGTCAGATAGATACATTCCAGTCGCTTGGCAGTGACTCGAACACGTCATGTTTAGGTGCAGATGTTTTGGTATTTAATGTGAAAATTGGCTGTGCTTTGATTTAAGCATGTGGGGAGGGAAACGAATATCAAAATCCCTGCTTGGCATAGGGTTGCGGTTTGTAACTCCGAATGGGTCTTGTCCCTTAGTGCAGGAAAGTATGGCAGCCAGGAGAATTTCCTGCGTGTGGATCCCAGGGAGAGCACAGCAGCGCTTGGCCCTGTCTTGCCTCCGATTAAATTAAAAATAAAAGGCTTTTGCATTATCTCCTCACAGCACATTGCTCCGTGGCAAGAGCAAACCTTCCGCTTGCTTGGTGTGATGATGAAATCTTTTACTGATGAAATTACCTCTCAGCTTCAGTGCCCCCCAAGCATCGGAGGGAGCCAGAGTCCCGAAGTGTGATGCACACTGTACCTACTCTTCAAATGCAGAGAGAAAACCTGACTCAAGGCTGCGTACATTATTTTGGGAATCTGTTGCCTCTGTGACTACTGGTATTCAACTGAGCCCTAGTAGCCCATGCTTAGTGTTTGGGCGACTAGAAGTGAAGATAATCAGGGTTCCTGTTGGGGGAGAGAGCTTTATTTTCTTGCTGGGCAAGCCACAAAAGGTTTACCTGTGTTTGCTGTACACTAAATGCCAAGAGTTCCTTCCAGGGGGGCTCACAGCTGGTGTGCTTTGCTAACAGTGGGTGCTTACATCTGGTATTTTACAGAAGTGCTGTGGAGTGCTGGAGACCAATTACCTTGTTTGAGAATGGTTGTGCAATTTTCTCTGGTTTCCCTGTCTTCCATTCACAAGGGTTAATTTGTTAGGGGAGGTCCCTCTGGAGGCACAAAAGCTGCAGCAGTGCTTTCAAGGGAAGGCTGAAGTGAGGAGAGCTTTTTTAGGGATTGATTTTGGTTTTTATTTCTTTGAGGTCAGTGATAGTCTCTTTTCTCTGGACAGCCTTTGAAATTAAAAAACTGGAACAATGTGTCCTTGTTAAGTACTTTGCTTATGTTTCTTCCTCTTCATAGTCACACACTATGGATTACGTAGCACCAGTACGCTTTTTTTGTCTCTTTCCAGCATGGTTTTTATCTCTGTCCGCTTCCAGGAAGCTCAAGCGTATATGCATCACTTAGCATACACTTTTTTTCAGTATAACTGAATTAAATGCAATCAGCACGTCTGTGCTGTGCCAGAATGCGTAGGAGGTTGCTTTAGTCCTTGCAGCTGAATGGTGGGGAGGAGAGCGCGTAGCCCTTCAGCTGGAGTGATCCCTTTCCGTTACGCTGTCCTGTTGCTGTTAGTTCCTGTTGGAAAACGCCATCGTGAGTGCTCCATAAGGATAAAAATTGACAGCTGTTGTAACCTGTACTGACTTGGCATGCAATGCTGCCTGTCAATGGAGTTAGGTTCCACCTTTTTTTCTGCTGAGCCGTCTTCTGTGTTGTGTCGGAGGGAAATACAGTCCGTGCTACATGTTCCTACAGCTTATCCCATCCCAATCTTCTCTTGCATCTCAGCATTTTCTCTCAGTGTGGGATCTTCTGAAAGACTTGGAAGTATTTCTATCCAGATTTTTTTTATTATTATTATTGATAAATTGTAACATGGGACTTGGAGTTCTGGTTTAGTCTTCCTACAGAAAAAAAATAAATAAATTCCCCTTTCAGCCATCAGAAAGGCCTGAGGCCATTAGCAGGGTTGTTTTGCAACCTTTGATTGTAGCCTCCTGGCACAGCGCCCTTAGGACCACCAGAGGTGGAGGCCACACATCCTGCCAGCTGGTGAACTGATCCTTTGCTTAGGCTTGGTCCCACTTCCCTGACATTGGGCCAAGCTGTGTGGATTCTCAGGTTGGAATTAAAATAGAACTGAATACACACAAGCTGTCAGCAGCAATGATCCTCCTGCTGGATTTCACTTCTCGCTTCCAAAAATATTTGCAGGGATACAAGGCTGATTGGACTGGCATCACCCTACAGCCACTTAAAATCACGTAACTGCACTAACAGAATTTGGCCAGGGGTAGGTTATGCTTGGATTTAACAGGAGTGTTACAGGCCTAAATTACCTTTTTTTTTTTTTTTAAACTACTTTGAATAAATAACTGCTGTAAAAAAAAAAAAAAAAAAAGTATGAAAAAGGGGTTTATTGCTTAGAATTCACCTGGGCCTAAAGGCTAAACTCTAATTATTATTAACCCTTCCTGCTGCTCATGTTCTTTCTCAGCAGGTAACATTTCTCCCCTGGCCTGTTGTCGGTGCGCTGCAAATGCCTGGCACCATGAGTCACTTCCCAAATGAAGGTAGCGCATGAGGGCTGGACTGCTGCTCTACCCATAGAGCCACTTTGGTCAGGCACATAGAGCTTGCCCAGTCACCAAATTCATGTCTGAGGGATTGCTCTTAATAAGCGTGACCTGTTAATCAGAATTGCCATTGGTATCCCCGGTGAAGTTCTGAAACAATCTATATGATAATAAACCTGACTTGGGTGGCGGGAGGCAGCAGCCTGTCTTTGTTTCATGTTTCACATGCTGTGAACACGATGTGCTTAATTTCCCTCTGCTTCCCAAACTTAATTACAATTAGGGTCGCAGAGCCTCTTGAAATCCTTTTCCTGCACATGTTGACTGGCTTGCACCTGAAATGGAAATAGCTAGCGGGGGGGTTTGGTTTGTATAGGGGGGAAAAAAAAACTAGTGACATTTCTGTTGATTGTGGGGTTTGTTGTTCGGGGTTTTTTTGTAAAATACAAAGTCCTTGGTAGGTGAGATTTTCTTTTTTTTTAAACAAATTTATCTAATGGATTATAAAAATCCAGCTCGCTCTTCACCATGAAGGAACAGAAAAGTTGCAAAAAATACCAAAGCTTCAAAACCAGGCTTGAACCCATCTCCGCTTTCCCCTGATCCTCTTTGTCTCTACAAATCCTGCTAATTCTCCTGTGATACTTGTACCTTGAAATCCACAGCGATGGACTGCTCAAACCTCAGCTAGCCTTGTGCTCCCAAACAGAAGGGCTTCCACTGGAAATGTTTATTCGCATGTACTTTGCAGGGGATGCAACAGATGAGCTCATTGGTGTAGCAGTAAGTGAGCAGCTCTCTAGATGATAAATCCTGTGCACACGGCTATTTCCATTTCTGCGGGCCTGTAGCCAGTGCAGCCACACTTTTTGTGGTTTGGGGTTTTTTTTTGTCTTGCTCTTGATCAAAACATGAGCAGTGCTTTGCATCTTTTCTGCATATGTCGTTTACTGAAGGCCAGGTGGTAGATTATTTGAGATGCCTGAATCGCAGGGGGCCCACAGTGATGTGCGATTGCTGCCTGGCCCTGGAAGAGCCAATCTCAAATGCAGCTCTTTCCAGTTTAAAGGCTTTTTACTTCCTCCTTCCCCCCAGGGGAGTTTGGCAGCATTACTAAGGAATTACCTGATTTTCCTGACTGCTGTGTTTCTTGGTTCTCTCCCGTTGTGGTATCTGAGACCTGGTTCGGTTTGCTCTTTGCTCATGTGTTCCTTTTTACAGAAACAGTACTGAAATTTTCTTCCATCGCCTTTCTGCATTGCCTCTAGCAAAGCCCTCATCAGCTGCTTTGGGGTAGCTATTGCTGTAGAGCCCAATTCCACTTCTCAGCTACCGGAATCCAGAGGTTAGAGAGCAGCAGAGCGCTCAACCCATTTCCAAAACCCAATGGAAAACTGTCAGCAGAGTGTGTACGTACTTGCCATCAGTTATTTTCTGCCCAAGTTTATTTTAAGACTAGTTAGCCTAAGGTAAGGGTCCCCTTTTGTAGCCTCCTCTGTTGTACACCTCCTGACAACAATCACAGAACATAGATTTTTAAACTGTGAAATCCACCGATGCTACTTGCGGTTGGATTATGTTTCTTATGCTGTAACAACGTACTGAATTATCAGGAATTACATGCGGCAGGGTGACCCCTCCAGTCACGTCCTCAGGAAGAAAGTTAAAATGAATGCTGGGACGGTTTTTGCAAGAACGGTACAAGGCAATGTAACTCTTCCCAGTTACCCTAAAATTCCTTTACACCTCTGTTGCTGTTGAGCTTTTTAATTACTTTTTTTGGAGCCTGTAGCTTAGCTGAAAGCTGAGGCTGTTGTCACTGAGCAAGTGGCTGAACTGCCTCAGCATTGGTACTTGGCGCTGGCTGCTGACAGCAATCTGTGCTGCAGCAGCGGTCAGGCACTCCTGTCCTGTGGTGCACTGCGTTGCTATTTCTGGTGTAATAAAACCCATTGAGTTTTTTAGTCCATTGGGAAGGCCAGTGTAAAAATGGAGGAAAACACTGGATTTATGTTTTTGTGACTTTAGTTGGATTGTTGTTACGTCCTGCATTAAATCAGTATTTGAATGTGAATGTTTGTTTCAAGCCATATTAATTACACTCTTCTCTAGTGCAATTAACGTTTTGCTAAAAGCATGCAGTTAAGTTTTAAACCTGTGATCATACCAAAGTGGTAGTTTCACCTTTAAAAAAAAAATTAATTGCATGTCTACAGACTCATTGGTTAAAACCAGCTAAAATGGAGGCCACAACACCGACTATCTCACATTCTTCATTCAAGCACTAACAAGGTTACTAGAGAGAGAAACAGGAATATTAAAAGTTGTCTTTGCTCTTTGTTTTGGAAGTTTGAGGGATAAGGGGCAGAGGAAACCTATTAGCAACAGGTTCTTTTGCGGAACGTATCCCTTGGCCTGCTCTCATCACTCCGGTCCGCTTTCTGCTTTGGCGAAGCTGAGTCTGAGTAAACTCTTCTGTAAAACTTAATCTTAAGAGCCAGGAAGGATTGTTCTCTTCTGTAACAGATGGAGTGGTTTCTTGCACAGTATCTCAGGTGGATCCCAAGCGCCAACCAGGCTGAATTCTCAGGGAGTTACTGATCCAAGCTCTTTGGGGGAGGATGTCCTCTCAGCAAGGGAAACAAATGCAGGTTGGAAATAGCACACATGGACGTTACCTTCTGTGCCGGAAGCTCAGGAAGGCATCTGTTCCAAAGGGCTCACCGTCGCTTTGAAAACCGAGCCTGGTATCAGCCTTTGCTGAGATATCATAGCAGCTGGAGAACGCAACTGCTGGCAGCTAAGGGGGAACAACCTCATTAAAACACAAGGGGGGGAAACAAAAAAATACCCTGGGAGGTCCCCTATGAATTTCTCAGGAAAGCTGCTCCTGAGCCAGTACAGCCTGGGTAAAGCTGGGTTCAAATCTCACCTGTATCTTCCATTAAAAACCACAGATTTTATTTTTGGTTCTGTGCAGTCTGGTTTGAGAGCGTGGTAAAGCTTTCCTTGCAGCAGAACTGTCTTCTTTATTATATCAAACAGTCTCAGCAGATGAACTACTTGTTAATCTGTGTTTTTTTGTAGTGCATTTACCTGTGGAGCTTACTATTTTGGTCAAGTCTGGGTTTTTTTAATTCAGCACTGAGGCTTGTCTGTCCCTGTAGAAGAGGCTTTGCCAACTGAAACCCACTTCCCAAGGGGGAAGTCTGAATTTTTAAGGTCTTACGCAAGAACTGGATGTTGAGTAGGACCCAAGACCCACTTGCTCACTACTGCCTGTTGGTGAGCACAACCAGGCAAGATCCTACGGCAAATACACGCTGGTACTGCCCAGATCAGAAATCAGCATCCAGCTGTCTCAGGGACCTCAAACCCAGAGCTGCCAGGGTTGAATACACGTTGCTGGATGGAGAAGTCATTACTCTTGGCTGAAACAAGGTCTTGCTGCTCCCAGGCGTTGCTCTTTGGAGCGTCTGCTAATTTCTTTCCTGTGAGGAAGTCGGGCTGCAGCCTGCCTTGTAAGCTGTGTGATTTAACCTGGCTACTGATACGCATTTTTCTAAAAGGGGGGGAAGAAAAAAGTCCTAAAGCAGATGGTTTCTACTTCCCTAGAAATTAAACTCATTATTCTTTTCCATCTTAAAATTTCAATTATGAGGGGAAAAGAGAAAATCAGAATTAAGGCTGATGCCAGAAACAGGTTTTGGAACATAAGGCGCGATTTCCAAAATCTCCTTAATTCCAGTTGAAAGAACAGTCCAGCCTCATTCTCATCATTGGATAGCATAAAAAAAAAGCTTTCCATAAAGATATTATGAATTTACTGTATGCAAATGCCATCATCACAACACCCAGGGGGAGGAGAGGGAACAGGAGAAGGAATTGCAGTGTATTTATTATCCAGCTGTAATTACATATTTAAAAATGCTTCCTTAGACATACGTCTAAGCTCCTTTCTGATCTGTTCAAATCCACAAAGTAACAAGGTGCCACCGCTTCTTTTCATAGAACTGGTAAATTGTCTGCCTAAGCTTTTTACCAAAATATGTATTTATTTTAAATACCTTTGCAGTACCTCCAAATGCAGTACACCCTGTGTACTAACGCCTGGCGTTTACCCCATAAAAGCACCCTTGGAGCCAGGAAGGCAGGAAATTACGCCAGCAGGACTGAGTGAGAGGAGAAGGATCTTTGATTGTTCCTTGTGTTGAGAACAGTGGTGGGACGGGGGCTGCTCCCACCTACCGAACACAGCAAAGGAGTTTCATAACGCTGCAGTCTAAGGTTGCTTTTCTTTTTTACAACACACGGAAGGCAGCTAATAACACCAAAATAAGGGGTCATGAGCAGATTGAGGGGAAAAACCTTCCTCTATCAGCAATGCTGGTGCTCACCCACCTGTAACCACTGTTCTGGTTGCTGTTCCTTGCATTGGAGCTTCCAGGGCTTGAAAGCCTTTGTGGTAAGACTAAAAGCTTACAGCAATCAACTGCTATCAGAAAAAAAAAACTCTCTTGAGCTAAAGTTTTGGGAGGCAAATGAAGAGTTCCCACATCCTGCCTACCCTTGCTCTGCAATCTTAACCTCTTCTGCACAGGCACTCCGTTACGCTCCAGTCACTTTAGGTGTAAAAAGTTCAATGTGAATAAAAATGGCTGCACTGTACCTGATTTACATTGCTTCGTGTCTGGTTTGTTCAAATTTGCCAGTGCTCCACACAAAATCCTGTTTTCTTCAGCTCCTAGCGTGAGGGAAACCTTACAGGAGCGCTGCCTGCAGGCTGTACAGGTATAAAACCAATCAGGAGAGGACAGCTGGAAAAAAAGCCAGATTGGAGATAAGCAGGCAGATCTGGGAATCAAAATGGAGGAGAAAGCAAAGGCTTCCAACTCTGTTAGTGTTCTCCAGGGAGTGGGACAGCACTGGAGTGCCTGGTTACACTCCAAAGATGCATTAATGTCATTCTGGATAATAGCAGCTAACCACAAAGCACAACCAAAGGGCGTTAATACAGCCAGAGCCTTGGTTGTGCTGCTTTTACATTGCTGCTACGGAGAAGTTTCCATTACTCACCTTGCTCCATTGGACTTGTTAATTATGGAGCAATACAGCGCAACGGTGCAGGACTAAAAGCAAGAGACACATTTTAAAAAGCTGGGTAGCTTAACTAGCAAATACGCTGGACCTTGAAGCTTGGGTTTGGTTGGGGAAGCGCTACACATTGCGTTTGGAAAACCCAGGTCGGAAGTCCTGCAGCAGTGTTAGGTTTGTGCTCATGTGCTTGCTCATCTTTCCCTCTTAGTGCACAGAGGGGACGATGAGCAAACCTGTACATAACCCAGTTACTGGTTCCTTATGTAAAGTGTGCCGGTCCTGCCTTTAGTTCCCAAAAGCGGTTGTTCTCAGGACCTGTATCAAGCTCTGGACAAATCCCAGAGGCAACAAACTGACAGTGGCAGAGAAGAGGAAGGCTAAGATTTTGCTGTTCAAGGACCGAAACTTTCAAAGGAGCTCTAGTATCACATGGGCTTTAAAATTCCTTGCTCCACTCACCAACGGGCCGCTTTGCCACCTGGCAGTTAGCCTAAATGATTTCTCCTAAAATAATTAATTTATTCAGGGCGTAACTAAATTATTCAGAGCATGGCTGCTGTCATACTAAAACAATTTAGCACTGAAGCTGACCATACCATCTCCGAAAAGGTTTGCTCTTTTTTTTTTCCTGCAAACCAATCTTTCCCCACAAGCTGGGCAACACAAGTTCTCAAGGAAGAACTCCCATCAAATGAGCGGAGCTTCACTGGGGCTCATTTACTCTGTTTCTCAGCAAACAATTAGGAATTTGACAGACTTTTTTGCTGCTGCAGCTAGCCCGCTTCCAGAATAGCCAGCCTCTGAGCGCTTGCCTTACTGTGGGCCAGCTTTGCAACTTTCCTAGCTACCACATAAAATGGGAACGGAAGATGAACAGTCCTGAAGAAGATGGCTCAGTTGGCCGGCCAACACACGAGCTGTTGGCCCAGCGCAGGAGGGCTGCTTCGGCCACCCATCCTCTGCTGGGTTGCACATTGCAGGAACGATCGCCTCAAGACAAACCAGCTCACCTTTGCCATGCATCTCCCCTGTGTTTCACGAGTGCCGCTGTGAAGGCAAGGGTGGGTTTTAAAGCGCCCCTGGTGCCCTGTGACCATGATGTTGCTCTGCTCAGGAATACCAGCTCCCAGCTGTTCCAGCTTCCTTTCTCTGGCCTTGAGAAAGCGTTTACAAAGTCTTGCCCTTGTGAAACGAGGAGTGACAAGCCCCTGCTTCACAGTAAGCCCAGCTGTGCTAGTCCTGAGCCTGGCTCACTGCTCTGCACTTGCCCTGGTGAGGCGTCCTACCTTCGTCGCCCCCTCTCGGGCTAACTGACCTAACTGCAGCCTGCGCAGGCCTTCCTCAGCCACTTACAAGTTCAGCCGCTGGAAGGGTTTGCCTCTCTTTGGGATCCAGGATGCTACGTCATGACTGCTGGCTTCCCTAAACACACCAGATGCCTCAGCATCCTTCTGGAGGACTTACACCTGAACACTGGAGACCACCAACGCTGAGGAGAGATGGATCTGCATCCTCCAGTCTCTTGTAGTAAGCTGTGACTACACTAACAGAAGCTATGCAGAAACCTCTTCTGATTGCTGCAACGGCTCCTTGGGACAAGGTAGAGACCACGTGCTAAAATCATTAACAGAAATGGGCTGCATTTAGACTAACCGACAGCGGGTAGGGGGAGAGGGCAAGTCCCTTTCCCCACAAGTCAACGGGCAGCGCTGGAGATGCTCCTGCACCTGCCTGTCCTGACCAGAGTCCCTCCTAGTCCGCTGCCTGCCGGCTCTTGCACTTTTCTTTCCTTGGTTCCTCAGCCGAGGTCTCCTCGGGGCTCGTTTCTGAGCCCGGTTCTGGTTCCAGAGGCAGTGAGGGAGGCTTTGCAAGTGGAGCTGATGCACCAGCACCTGTGGAAAGAACACAGTTATAGTTACTGTGTGACCGCACGTCCTTTGTCTGTCCTTTTTGCCCTTCCAGGCAGCATGGAGATGCAGAAGAATCACAGCTATTAATTACTCTTGGATTTCTTTCTATCTAGCATTAGCTTATCAACTTAGCACTCAACTCTTCTGAGTTATCCAGCCACAGACCTTACAGCACCCAAAGTTCTGCTGAGGGAAGGTACAGGATCTCATTCAGCTGGGCTGCTGAGAAGTTGGTACAAACTTATGCATTAACTCATGCTTTGGAAGCAAAAATCATTCCCCTGAAGCTGGTTTATATTCAAGCTGGAGCCAAACCCACAGTACCGTTTTCAGGTCAGAGTTTTAGCAAACTCAAGGAGAGTTTCCAGGCAGGTAGCTACTCACAGAATAAAATTGGAACAGGACACTTCCATGCTGAAGTTGTTCCTATGTTTAGGTTTAGGCTGACAACTGCTGTTATGAACTGGCTCCCATCTCTGATGTGGATGATAAAGTCCTTCAAGTAAACCCCAAACTCCCATACATTTTATTTTTCAGCATTCCTGACTAAGTCTTCCCTGCATGGAAAGTTTATTTCATGCGTGAGAAATAGAGCACGTCCTTAGGGTGCCAAAGAAAGAGGCCCGGATTATACAACCTCTCTCCCAGTTCAGTCCACAGGAAAGAAGGCTAAGAGTGACAGAAAATCACAACGACGAGCAGTATCTCTAGCGCATTCCTCCTCACCAAGGGGTGAGAGGAGGTCAGGCTATGAATGGTGGCTCAGGAGATGCTCCTACCCAGCCCCAGCAAGAAGCAGCACATGCAGCTATTGCCGTAAGCCTTCTAAGGCTGACGCTATCTCCTGAGCAACCTTCAGTCCAGCAACATTTGCAAGGGAGGGACCTGACTGGACAGCTTCCAAACAATCCAGCTGTAGTTATTTTTGAAACAGAAATGATAAAGCACTTCAGAAAACTGTCCATCATTTCCCTTCTCTCCAGCATCCCATCTGTTCATGTCAGCTCCTGGGCTCTTCGCACGGAAGACAAGAGGTCTGGTTTCTGAAACCACCCCCTTCCCAGAGCAAGATCTCAATCCCAGGCTAATGGAGTCTTGCCCATCATGGCTCAGAGAGGAGGGGAAGCTTTGCTGGCTTTCCACACACTATACAGGCCAGTATAATGCACCACAGAGAGCACCTTCCTTCCATGCTTCCTTAACTCGGAAATCTGGGAAAGTCATTACCAAATACTGACATGACCACTGTATAAGCAAGTCAATACCTTCCTAAACACCTGCTCTAGCTCTGTACTCAATGGAAGAGAGATTTCTCTTCTCCCTCCCACAGCTCTACTACAAAGAGAAGCAAAAAAGAAGTACCTGGGGGCAGCTGCATGGTCTTCCCGTACCCCGCAGCTGAGGACATGGCTTGACCCAGGGCCTGGTTAGAGCCCAAAGGCTGCTGAGCGCTGGAGGATTTCCCTGACGGAGCAGCTCTCTGCTTGGATTTAGAGTCTTTAGAAGGCTTAGTCCAGACCAGGCTCTCCCCTACCTGCAGGGCAGCTCCCATCTTCTGGGCAACCTCCACCATCTTCTCAAGAAGCAAAAAGAGAAGAGCATTGTAAACAGGAACACTTCAGATAACAATAACATCAACAACAACACAAAAACAAAAAATGAGAGCTGTGCAGAGCTGGCTACTGCCTTGGTGCTCGAGGGAAATATCTCTACTAATTCATTCCCTTAATTAAGAGGGAATCTTGTCTTGCTGTGTATTGATTGAAGAACTGGGCTTCAAAGAGCAGAAATGAAGCAAGCAGCTCTCAGCAGGCAAACGCTCTACTCAGAAAATCTCGTAAGCAGAATTTCTTCATAATAATTGGACTCCAAAGTCAAATTTCCTCCTTGTTTGTCGCCAGCCTTAGCATGGCCACTTAGTTCCCACTGACAACGGTTAGGCATATACCTCAGGGTCAAAGTCAAGAGTGCTGCTCTTTTTCACCGCATTGACCTTCTTCTCCATCTCCTGGTATTGGCAGAGGGCTCCTTTCTTGTCGCCCTGGTTATACAGCAGGACAGCGTAGTTCAGGTTGACAAGGGGATTGCACCTTCAGGAGACACAGAGGATGCATCGCATTCACCATGGGAACACTTATCCTGACTTGAATAAACACTAAGATGTGGCCAAGCAACAAAGCTGGAGACACCTTACTGGATGGCACAGACAAGCCATGGGGTACTCTGACACCAAAGCAGATGAGGGGCTGCACAGCCAGAGCCCTTTAAGGACAGGACAGAGTCCCATGTGCTTGGTGAGAGACCCAGTGGGTGCCCGGGCTCAGCAAAGTATCTTTACACAAGGCCCTCCTCTGCAACAGCCAATTCCTTGCACTCGGGGACCATGTCAGGATGGTCTTTAGTGCGTGCCTGGTCTCCCAGCCCCTTGCTCCTGAGGTTGGCAGAGCAGTGATGGGGGCTTTCATGATACCATGAAAGTCGATCTCTGCTCTGACTTACCTCAGGCTCTCCTAGCTCTCCCAGTTTGTAGGGGAGCAGCTTGTCCTGGGACAGGGCAGTGGAACAGACTCATGCTTATTGCTTGTATTTTACAACCCAACGTGCTACAGAACATGCTGCTGACATTTTGTTTTCCTCACCTCTTCTCTCCCATTCACCCAGTACATACATATTGGTACGTACTTTTCTAGAGAAACAGTAGGCGGTGTCTATTAACAAAGGGCTCAAAGAGGGGACCAGCACCGCAGATAAGGCTGTTTGTTATTCTGCACAGTCCTGCCTCGATGCAGAACAGCATATGAAGATTTCAAAAAGGCAGAATTGCTCCATATATTCTCATTTTCCACAGTACCCATTTTCTTCACTAGGACACATAAACCCCGCACGGCAACAAACTAAACTGGGGGGAATTTTTTTAGACCTGATCCTTCCTTAATTGCCCGACAAGCCACACTCAACAAACTGCCCTGACCCTTCTTTAGCAGTCTGAATGTTACCCTTATTTTGGAGAAACAAAATGCCTGTGTATTATCTGACACAGAAATTAAATGCATGAGGGTCACCATCCCCAGCATGGGAGCTCGGGCAGGTACTCGGTTCATCCAGGCTGCAGGATGAGACCTGGAAGAACCGAGATTGCATTTGGCCAGAACAGGGGTGCATGTAAGATCCCCGTCTGACCGCAGCTCCCTGCAGAGGAGCCGTAGGCTCCGTACAATTTGCTCAATAAATGCGAGCGATGGACTGGTGCCCCCTCCTGGAGCCTGGCAGAGATAACTGGAGCCATCCAAGGACTCCAGCACCCAGGCCTGGGGTGCCAAGAGCATCCTTTGTGAAAAGTACAGAAAGGAAGTCTTGTGTTAACACTGTTCAATAAATAGCAAGCGTCATCTGCAGGCCATGACTATCCATCCTTGGTAAGTTATACGACAGCGCTGTGAGAAAGAAGACTATTAGAAGAAATCTGATAGCATTTATAACCATTGGGTTTCCTTTAACTGAGAAACTGGAACACTGATCCTGCCACAAAAAAAAAAAAAAACCAACCCTCCTCGCTGTCTTTGCCAAAGCAAAGGAAGGAATGCATGAAAAAATAAATATCAAAAACCCACCTCCTCAGAAAAAAAAAGAAAAAAGCCAAAAAAAAAAAAAAAAGAAAATACAAAAAACCAATCCCCCACCAAACACTGAGATCAGACAGATCTGGGAACAGCCAGGTTTAAAACTAATTGAACTGCATCAAGCTAATTCGCCTTCAAGAGCTGCAAAGCTATATGACAGTTAGAAAAAAAATCAATAGCTAAGTAACCACGGAAAGAAAGGAGAGCTATGAGCTAGAACCAGTACTAAGAAGAAACACCTTTTTTGAAGACTTTTCCATGGTGCTTTCCATGCCAGACCCCAGAATGGCACCCAGGCCAAATGTCACAGCGCTGCTATGAAAGTATTTATGGCAATGGAAACAAACATGGCTATCTTCATCCCAGCCAAACAGTTCCTAATGTGCCAGCAAAGAAAGCCTGCGGGGACATGGATTCAGCCACCCAGTAACTGTCTAAAATACACAGTGTGTCAGCTGAACAAGCCTACCAAAGCCTGGATATTCGCCCCTGCAGCCCCTGGCACTTGGCGATCATTTTTGTTTTGATGAGGTTTAATTTTCCCGGTAAGCTGATAGAGCTGTAGCATCACAGCAGTGCCAAATATTTAGGCAAAGTTGTAGAGCTAAATTTCTATTCCTTCTCTTTGATCAAAGCACAGAAATTCATTACTAATCTTTAAGGTCCTGTGCTGCCTTGCTAGGCATGGAAGGCTGATTAGGAAAGTCGGGCAACGGGGTTGACCGGGCTTAGGGATGTTGGTAGGGATGACCAACCTGTGCAACCTGCTTTAGCAGGAGGGTTGGACTAGATGATCTCCCAAGGTCCCTTCCAACCCTTGCCATGCTGTGATTCTGTGACCACTGAGTAATTGTGAAACAATGCATTTCCAAATCTTTGACCACAGTTTGCACAGGTTCGGGTCCTCTGAGGAGGTTGCACAGACCTCCTGGCGTTTGAAACAGATGCGGAAGTAATATTTCAACTTGTTTTGTAATTCTGTTGATGCGTAAGTATGAAGAACTTCAGTGCCAGATGTGTGCTGGCTGCGCAGGGGTAACTGATTCAAGAGCTCTGGCATGCACGCAAGCCACGGAATTCCCCGTGAACATCCAAGAGCATTGACAGCTCCTCTGCGCAAAGAGAACTGCACTATAGCGTCAAACACTGTTTTTTGAAACCTCCTGCCCTTTGTGGGGTTGGTTAGGAACTTGCAGAATTCCCCAAATTAAGCCTGGCCAGTGCACCTAGGTTAGAGAGGACAGAGGAAAAGGGACCAGCATCTTCTCATGCCACTTTTTGGTAGCCACTTCACCAGCATACAGAATACTGGGCTCTGCACCGGCTGCCCTAAGTATGCAAATATTCCCAGTAAGTTGGGAAGAAGAATTGCCATCTCCTCACTGACTAGTTAAAAATATGAAAAGTAAAAAAGAAAAGTAAAGAAAAGCAGACCCAGGAAGCCAAAACTATTCATAAATTTGAGACAGATTTGGTTTTCTGACCGAAACGATGAATACCGCAAGGTTCGTTTTAACATTTCTGAAGCAGAATGCTCTGATTTCAAGAGCCAGATTGCAAGCACAGACATTGTTAACAAAATGGAGGAGGAAGGGCTACCCTGCTGCCCTTTTATACGCTTTACACTAGCTTCTCACCCACGTTCTCCCAGCTAAAATCTTCCCTCTGCCTGATTCAGAAGAGTCTTTATCCCAGGCCTCTCATTGCTCTGCACGGTGCTCAAACCTTGGGTTACAAAATATTCTGGGATAACTGGTTTTCTTCTATCGAATCTGCTCTGCTGCGCCATAAATATTCACTGGAAGGTAGCACGGAATCTAAAGTCATCGCCACTGACTCACTGACAAAACAGCAAAATAAAAAACAGCTTTGGGTTGGACTGAAGCAAAATTTCCCTTTCATTTTTCAGAGATGACCCGAATTAAAAAAAACAAAACAAAACAAAACAGAAAGGTGGTTTAAAAACAGTGACTTGTGCAGCTGCAGGAATAAAAACATTTCCCTACTGCAAATCATTTAGGGTCAAAGTAGACTGAGGGACAAAGCACATGAAGTAAACCAGGTGAGGGAGGCAAAGCCACGTGATCAAATGACAGCTATGATTAAGACTTACTTGTCCAGTGCCACAGCTTGCTCATAGGAACGTTTTGCATTCTCAACATCTTCAAGGTTTGTCAGAGCAACTGTACCAAAGCCAAACATACACAAACAAGTTGACACTTCTCAAGGACTTCATTTTTAGGGCAATTCTGAATGTCATTACATCATAAAATAAATCGGTGCTACCAGGGCTGTCTGGACTGCTGCCAGGATTAGCCCAACTAATGTCACTTCTGATAAGTATTTGTCTTGCTTAATGCCAAAAATGTCCAGTGCTGGAAATCCACACCCACTCCTTAGGCCACCCAAACCCAGCCTCTTACACGTAGAAAATCTTTTCTAATGTTTAATCTGATCCGACTGCATTTTAACCTTCCTATTCACCACTCAGACTTTATACCTGTCAGTGACCTGCTGGGGAAGAGCCTCTTACTACAGCCAATATTTGATTACTTCAACTTCTCTGTCTCTATAATGTTGCACCCCATAAGCGGGATACCCACAGGAGCAGGGAAACGGGGCGCTGCGTACCTGCCAGGAGCATATACAGCTCTCCCATCTTGGGCTGGAAGTTGATGGCAGCGCTGAGGAAGTGGAAGGCAGATGCGTACTGCTGCATCGTGAGGTGGACTAACCCCAAATTGTACAAGATCTTCCAGTCAAAGGGAGCCAAGTAGTTTGCCCGCTTCAGGCAGCTGATAGCCTTCAAAAAAAGGAATAAGCGTGCTGTGACACAGCCCGCCCAGAACAGAGCTCCTGCCTCTGCCACGGGAGGAATCTTGTTCTTGCATGAAGTTAGCTACATATGAAAAAAGAAAGGAAAGCAGATACTTACTGCTACGTATTTCTTCTTCCCGAAGAAGCACATCCCAATGTTGTTCCACAGCGGGGGGCTTTCAGGCACGGTGCTGGCTACCACCCTGTATTTGGAGAGGGCAACGTCATAATCTCCGTGAGCTTGCATCATGCTGCCAGCCGCCAAGGTAGCCTTTGAGAGAAGACAAGAGACCAGCTGAGGAACAGCATTTCCCCAAATATAGCAAGAAGACAACAGGACAAAATTAATAAACTAAAGCCATCTTAAGAGCAACCATTTAACTTTTTTAGGTCTTTTCTTTTGGAGGCTGCCAAGACCAACAGTGGGGAGCAGATGGGGACTCCAGATTCTCCCAACATTCAGCAAAATGAAAGAAGGGACTCAAGTCTGCTTCTTCCTGCACCACCTTGATCGTAACCGTCAAAGAAATACTGCAACATGACAAGTGTTTAGGGTATGTTTGGGGATGACAGCAGCATCTCCTAGAGTCTGAGTCTCTGAGAATATCTATGCACTAATAGTCTCTTTTTACCAACAAGCACAGATAGAATTAGGTCTGGTGCAAGTTAGCTGGAGAGTAAAACATAGGCAAGCAAGACATCTGCAGCAGAGCTAGCCCAGGTCACACTCACCGGTTGATATTGCATGGGGAAAAAAAGGCAAGTGATTGCAACCCACCAGATTTAAACCACAGTAGTTCAGGCCTTTATAGTGTTTCACAGTGACAAGTAAAATTTGTAAGCATAAAGGTGTTTTCACAATAACGTTCGGCTTGCATTCCTATATCGTTTGTCAACCCCACATTTCAATACGTCGCTAAGATTGTACAGGAGGAAGAAGAGGCAGAGAGAAACGAAGTAACATGGCTAAAAAGGGAAGCAGTTTCAAAGTCAGGAATGAAACCTAGATCCCAAGCTCGGCCTTCCAGACCAGAGGCAAGGAAAAGTCACATTTGTATACAACAGTTGGAAGCCCAGAGAGAGTCATTAGCAGATGGGAGAATAATATAATGGAATATTGCTTGTATCTGTGCTCCATGCCTAGGAGTCACAGGGACCCAGGAACAGCTCTTGGGATTTTTGAAACAACATCTAGAACATTTTCCTTGCAAAATAAATTCCATTTGTTTTAATTTGTTTGCAACTTCAGATGA